ACTTGTCCTTGTTGAACCTCATCAGATTTCTTTTGGCCCAATCCTCTAATTTGTCTAGGTCCCTCTGTAGCCTATCCCTACCCTCCAGCGTATCTACCACTCCTCCCAGTTTAGTGTTCACAGGAGCCTCTAGGAAGGTTTAGTTTCCTATATCCTGTCCAAGAGAAGTCTAGTAATTAGCATGACAGCAATGTCCTGCAATATCCTGGACAAACCTTACTGACTTAAATTGAAGTATCTTAGGAGTTCATTGTATGAAAAATGCCAAATGTTCACATATTATTGTGGGATTGTGTGTGACATCTCCAGGGAGGAGACCTGACTAATGAAAATGCTGAAAAGTGTTAGGAGCTTCAAAGGACTATTAGAAACAAGGTGAACTTTTAAAATTCAGTGGGTTCCCCAAGAAATCTCTAGGGGAGGCATACGCAAATGTAACTCCTCTGGTTCTGCAAAACACCATCCTTTGGAAACTACACCCTGAGGAGAAACCCATTGTCTAGGAATTAGCTATTCCCATATTGAACCCCAGACTGTATAAAGGAGGCACCAAGCTTTGCATGAGTGTTCTTGTTCTAAGAAAAGGAGTTATGAGTTTGTAGCTACACAAAAACCTCGGTGTGGGGTTTGAAGGACTGTTTACCTGCCTGAGCCCTTGTGGGGTGATCTCTGGTAAGTTTATTAGCACATGTGTAGGTTCTTGTACATGTTTTCTCTATAATGCTTTCACTTTAAGAATAACTATGCTTGCTTAGAAAGAGCCATGTGTTACCTTAACCGTGGCAATTACACTGTTTGAGGAGAAGGCAAAGCAGGCCTACTTAGATAGCATGACTTGTTGGGGAACTCACAATATAGGCAGGGGACTGTGCACGCTGGAAATATGCCGCTCAGGAGGAAGAGAGACACAGGACTCTGCCCAAGAGACGTGATGACTGGGGAGCTGGAAGCCTGAGGGTGGGTGCGCTTGGTGGACCCTAGAGGGGGAAATATAGGTGCAGTTGCTCTGACCTGTGACAATTAATAGGCATGTTGCTAGTAGTGCTGGTTTGTCAAATATTTTTTTGTGTCAAATGTATCAATTTTGAAAAATTCTTCTCTCCCCCCGCCCCCATTTTGAAAACTTTTAATTTCAGGGAATTTCAAACTTTTGTTTTCAATTTTATTGTATGGGTTTTTCTCATTTCCATAGCAGCCGTGCATAATATGAACTCCTACTACTACTCACAGGCCATAATATGGCTTAACAGTTGAAATAGCCAATTATTTTTATTTTATCTACATTTAAGATTCTTATAGGCAGCTGCCACTTAGCACAGATTGAAACATCTTATCTTTTTTCTCGACTGAAGTGTCTCCTGTTTGTGTTGTAATGAATGGACTAGTTTGCCACTTTGACACAAATCATTATGCGCTACTACCACTGACCTAGTATGAAATAATGTAAAAATAATAAAAATATAAACATGAACAAAACATAACATTCTAAACAAAATTTCACAATTCTGAAATTAAATTTTTCTGAAACTGAAAATGTGCAGAAATTCTGTTTTGCCGGAAATTTTGAAAACATTTTTCAGTCCAATTTGGAATGAAAACAAATTTTGAAATGTCAGAGTTTCCTACAGAATGGAAATTCGTTTTGATCAGCTCTAGCTGCTAGCAAGATCCCCATGTTATTAATGGTTCCCAATCCTGCTGGAAAGGCGTAACGAGTGGGGTACCGCAGGGGTCTGTTTTGGGACCGGCTCT